GCCCAAACCCTTACTGATCGCAGAACGATTTAGATTTCATAAAGGATCAAAGAGACGATGAAAATATTAATACTTATGTGGCTGAAATAAGAAGTTATCCGAACACTGTGAGTTTGGTACAGCGTTAAATGACTCGTTAAGGGACAGATTTGTTTTGGACTATACAGTACAATGAATCTATTCAGAAACGCTTACTTGTCGAAACCAGCCTTACGTTCGAGAAAGCGCTAAAACTTGCGGTTGCCATGGAAACGGCCATGAAAGATTCACTTGAGTTGAGGGGGGAAGCCAAGACAATACTTCCTGTGAACAGAAGCGAAATTTGTATATGGTCGAAACAAAGGGGCCTGCCCTTTTTGGTCGAGACTGGCTAGGAAAGATCACACCAGATTGGAAAGCAATCAACACATTGGCAACCACACCACCAGGAAATCCATAAACCCGATTACAAGAGATTCTCGAAAAGTATGGTGATGTTTTTGAAGAAGAAATTGGTCTGCTAAAGACTACCAAAGCAAAGATGAACCTGAAAGAAAACAGCCAGCCAAAGTTCTGCAAAGCAAGACAAGTACCATATGCTCTGCGACCAAAAGTTGAGGTTGAGTTGACCAAGTTGCAGAATGATGGCATCTTGACCAAAGTTGATTGGAGTGAACGGGCAACCCCAGTTGTTCCAGTGATAAAGAAGAATGGCAATGTTCGATTGTGTGGTGATTTCAAGCAAACCATCAATCCAGTCTTGCACGTTCAACAATACCCTCTCCCACGGATTGATGCTATTTTCGCCTCCCTCGGCGGTGGGCAAAAGTTCAGCAAGATTGATTTGTGACAGGCGTATTTACAGATGGAAATGGAAGAAGAGTCAAAGAAATTTCTAACAATTAATACCCATAAAGTATTATTCCAATACAATTGGCTTGTATTTGGTGCAGCATCTGCCCCGCAATGTGGCAACAAGCTATTGAATAGAAGCTATTGGAAAAAGCAAGAAGCTATTGCAACAAGCTATTGGATCAGATATTGGAAGGAATTCCCCATGTGCAATGTATCCTTGATGACATGATCATATCTGGTGTAACAGACCAAGAGCATCTTGACAACCTAGAAGAAGTTCTCAGTCGACTTAGTGAACATGGTCTCAGAGCCAACATCGGTAAGTGCGAATCTTCAAAGAAAGAATCGAGTTCTGTGGTCATGAGATCAGCAAACTGGGTCTGCACAAGTCCCAACAGAAAGTGAATGCTGTGATAAATGCACCACGTCCTGAGAGTGTTTCCCAAGTTCGTTCCTTTGTTGGTCTTATTAATTATTACCACGATTTCCTTCCAAACCTTTCTACCTTACTTCAACCACTAAACCAGTTGCTCGAAAAAGAGAGACGGTGGTAATGGACCTCGGAATGTGAGCAAGCTTTTCTGAAAGCAAAGGAGTTAATTGCATCCGAGGAAGTCCTTGCACATTATGACCCTCAACGCCCAATCAAGTTAGAATGCGATGCATCTCCGTATGGGTTGGGGGCAGCTTTAACACAAGTCATGGGTGATAATACTGAATGACCAATAGCTTATGCTTCAAGGTCCCTTACAAAAACTGAAAAACTATTCTCAGATAGATAAGGAAGCATCATTGGCTTTAGTATGGGGTGTGAAGAAATTCCATACTTACATATTTGCACGACATTTCACTCTGCGAACAGATCATAAACCATTGACAGCAATTTTCAGTCCAACCAAGGCTATACCAGCAACGACTGCTGCTCGAGTCCAACGATATGCACTATTCCTTTCAGGGTTTGACTACGAGATTGAACACCGTAGTTCAACACAGCATTGTAATGCAGATGGATTGTCCCGTTTACCTCTAGCAACAACTGAAGATGAAGAAAATCAGTCTGTTGACCCGGTTGAGGCATTTCATGTGTCACAGTTCAGCATGTTGCCTGTAACTTGGCAGCAAGTACGCAAAGCAACCCAACGAGATTCTACCCTCGCGCAAGTGTATGAGCATGTCATGAAAGGCTGGCATGAAAATAAAGACCCCAACCTGCGTGCGCAACCCTTTTACTCTCGAAGAAACAAACTAACTATGCACCAAGGATGTATTATGTGGGGGAGCAGAGTTGTCACTCCCACAAAGTTACGAAGCGAAGTGCTACAAGTATTACACGAAAGTCATGTTTGTGTGGTTAGAATGAAAGCTCTGGCTAGAAGTTACGTTTGGTCGTCAGGAATTGATTTGGAGATTGAAAGAATGCAGTGGTTGCCAGCGGGTTCAACATGCCCCCAAATGCTCAACATTACACCCATGCGAGTGGCCATCTACCAGCGGCGGCGGAACAGATTTCGTTCTGGGGGGGCTAAATTTTTTCGGCGACCTCACCCCACCCACCCACCCCCCCACCCCCGGTCGCCAAAAAAATTTCGGTCATTAGTGTACCACTTTAGGGGTACAATATACAAAAAAAGGGACGAAAAAAATTTTTTCGGACTTATCAAAAAAATTTTTCGGAAATACACTTTTTTTAAACAAAATATTGCAAATTTGTCCCCTTATACCTAAATTTTCAAAAAATAACCTAAATGTTTCCCTAATTATCAAAATTTTTTCAAAAAATTCAAATTTTCTGGGGGGGCTAAGCCCCCCACTTTTACTTCTGGGGGGGCTTTAGCCCCCCTAGCCCCCCTGTTCCGCCGCCCCTGCCATCTACCCCCTGGCCACGTATTCATGTCGATTTTGCAAGACCATTTCTTGCAATGATATTTTTAGTGATTGTTCACGTTCATTCAAAATGGTGAGAGGTAATAATCATGCACTCGAAAACAACCACCTCCAAAACTGTCGAAGTCCGCCCTGCGAACAGTGTTTGCTCGAAATGGGTTACTAGAACAACTGGTTAGCGATTATGGCCCTCAATTCACTGCATAAGAATTCCAGCTATTTCTAAAGAAAAACGGAGTTAAACACGTAACTTCAGCACCATATCATCCAGCCACTAATGGCTTAGCAGAAAGATTCATTCAAACCACGAAACAATCTTTGACTTCAATGAAGGAAGACCTTGGCTCCACGTAGACCAAACTATCCAAATTCTTAATGAAATATATAAACACACCACACAGCACGACTGGTGAAACACCAGCAACTCTCTTCATGGGACGAAATTTACGCACACGGTTAGACTTGATCAAACTGGATATTCGAAAGCATGTTATAGAGAAACAAGTCAGCCAAGCCAAACCCAAAGGTGATATTGCTGGTAATGCAGTTAGTGTCAGAAATTACAGAGAGAAGGAAAAGTGGATTCAAGGAATTGTGCGTGCTCGAACCGGACCAGTGTCATACCAGGTCGAGATTGCACCAAATGTTATCTGGAGGAGATACATCGATCAATTACTTGCCTCGGAGAACATAAACGACACTCAAGATTTCGAACCAGTTACAGATATTCCAGGTTTGGCCAACGAAAATAATACTGAAGACGAAACAGCCGTGGACATACAAGACCAACAGGAGACTTTAAACAGGTGAAAGTGCAAAGAAATGATTATAGACTTCAGAAAAACGAAAACAGAAATTCCTGAACTACAAGCGGAACAGTCTCCAATAAGTCGTGTCAGCTCCTACAAATTACTGGGTGTGTGGATCGATAATAATCTGAAATGGGAGACTAACACTTGGGCTTTGGTTAAAAAGTGCCGGAAAAGACTGTACTTTTTAAAAATCTTAAAGAATTACGGTGCCCTCACAAAGAACCTGTTGGCATTTTATAATTCAATAATCAGGCCGGTTTTAGAATATGGTGAATTGGTGATGTTTAGTATGGCCTGGGGGTCTAACTACTAAACAACGATGCAATATCGAAATGATTCAAAAACGAGCATTTCGTATAATATATCCAGGACAAGATTACAAACAGGTATTGGAAGCGAACAAGTTGACAACATTGGAACAACGAAGAAAAGACCACTGTTTCAAGTTAATATCAGATATGACTGAAGAAGATCATTAGCTTAATCATTTGCTTCCTGCAAAAAGATCTGAAGTAACGGAAAGAAACACTAGAGGGAACAAAAATTGTTTATAAAATAGCCCGCTTTTACATGCTATTAACATTTTTAATACTATGAACAACAATTAGGATAGTAAATATAATATAGTTGTAAACTATATAGTAATTTAACTTATGTTATTGTATGTACTGCAGTTATAATTCCAGTAATAATAATAATATAGTTGTGTTAATTGCAATTTTTCATTTGTTTGGCCCTCACATATTAAATTATGAATATTCAAATTAAATTTAATATGAATATTATCTTTCAAGTTTAGTATGCAAAAGGTTTATTAAAGAAATAGTCACAGATGAGACATTTATAGTCTAGACATGTTGTGTACTATTATATAAACAAAATTTTTCTTAAAATGAAACACTCCATCTGACAGTTCTTTATTCATGACCATGTTTTTGAAAAATAGATATATGCTGAGTTTGGTGGATAAGCCTTATCAAAGAACAAACTATGTCAAACATTCACTCTCTAACAAGGGAGTTGATATCTGGAATAATCTTGACCCAAACTTTAAAAATATAGCATCTTACTATATATTCAAGAAAAAATCGAAAAAATACTACATACTGAATAACTGAAAAACTACTACCAAAACAACATCTGCAATATCAAATTTTATATGAATTAATAATAATACACTTTTGTGATCATAACATTTTATTTACTGTAGCACTATATGTAAATACTTTATCATATTGCACCTCACTTGAAGCACTGTCACCTAGTTTTGTTTGTAAATAGGATCCTTATTTTGTAATTTAAAATGTAACTAGGGGTCTTAATCAAAAGCCTTTTGATGGTTTCTAGTAGGCCCCTAGCCCTAGATAATAAACATGTAAATATAATAATCAAAATTTTTGTAATTAAATTGGGCGAATATATTTAAAAAAAAATAAAAATCCAAGCATATATATATATAGTTCCCAGAAAATAGTTCCCCAAGAAAGAAAAAGGATAATTAATGTAAAAATTTAATAGATAAAAGGAAAAATTCTAACTAATAGAAAAAAAGTCACCTGTGCTGTAGGTATGACCTTAGAAATGCAATAATTATCCATCTTAATAGTGTAAGACTATAGAATAATGTAACAAATGTTCTATGGCAAATTCATTTTTAGCCAATCTGGAATGCCTAATTTTCTGGGGGGCATGGATCCCCCTGCTAGTGCCCCCCTAGTAGTGCCTTTTTAAGCATCTCTATTCACCTTAGGATCAGACCCTTGATGCATGTTATCTAAATTAGTTTTATGTTAATTAATATTTTTCTGTTAATTTAAAATATAACATGACATTCAGTTTGATAACATCACATAGTTACAGTGTCCGAGTGTCAATTTACTTTATTATTTGCAGAAATGTGCAATGTTCTCTTGCAGTCCCAGAAAGTAAAATATTTTTCCACCCCTGGTTAGCACTTCACTTGGGTGAACTAGAATGCTGGGTTTGCTAGATAAAAAATCCTAGAACATGGAAGTCTATATGTTTGTCTTGTAACAAGTCCCGTAATTTGTCTTGTTCAAATTTGTGTTGTTATTAATTCTAATGTGTGTCCCTGTGTTGGTCTTGTTAATCTTCATTGTCAGCTAATTTCCACTCAATAAAATTTTCCGCAGGAGCGCACGGCATTGAAACTAACGACTTTAGCACTATGTACACTTTCCTTCCGTTACTATCCTGCGGAGGGTTTTCCTGGGTGCAAACTGGCCTTTTTATATTACTAAAGATCTAATGTAGAATGTGTCATGTTCGTTCTGTAAGGGCTGCTGTAATTGGCGCAAAGCTGTAGCATATACCCTGCCATTGATTGATTGATAGTTTGTATATTCTTGTGTTTGTATTTGTGCAGATATGATAGTGTGAAATTGGCAATTAAAGCATAATAAATAAATAAATAAATAAATAAATAAATAAAAATAATCCAAGTGAGCAGATATATACACATCCTGACCTTATCACAACCCGCACACCCAAATACATGTAGATAAACTTGCAGTTATATATACATGTTGATAAACTTGCAGTTACAGCTCAGCGACTAGCTTCGATCTGTACTGTACAGGTGTATGTACCACAGAATACCACAAAAATTTACATGATCCATATCTTTTGTCTAATGTATATAATATGGTTCCTTAATATTTTTTAGTATAGTCTATCAATATAGTTTTCTTCCTGGGGGTTTTGGGGCAAGATTTCATAGACTTAATTATTTTTTTAAAATTAATATTCTGTGGAATTGAGTCACATTGCAGCCATCAGCACCCTATGTTATTATTTTACTCTGTCTAATGCCAGATGATTTTACTCATCAAGGGGAGAGTGCTGGTGCTTAATGGGTTAATATTCTAGTAGAAGGCCCAAAGTATTCGAGAATCAGAATTCATGTTGAGAATCGGCCAAAAGTATTGAGAACCAGAATTCATGTCGAGAATCTTCTGTTTGGTGAAATTACAGAAATGGGCTTTTCGGAAAACAACGGCCTTTCTGGTTTATCCACCCCTTAGAAACATTAATTGTCATTTGACACAAGAAACGGTCATGTTTTATGGTCAAAAAGAACCGGCTGTAACAGGTGCCTTTTCATGGACTCCAAGGAGTAGAAACATAGATATTAATTAATGAAATGCCGAAGATGGTTGACCATGGTAATAACAGCGATAAGTTGGATCATGGAAGAAGGGGCCCATGGCATATTATAAGCGTGCGTTGGGCTGTTCAACATTGGGGCCCATGGCATATTATAAGTTTCTAGGGTCAAATGACAATGTTTCTAAGGGGTGGGATTAAATTAAAGTTGAATTTATAGAAGCCTTTGTTTTCAAAACGGAAGGCCCATTTCACCAAACAGAAGATGTAATATTATGGACGAAATTAAATTTAATGGAGGCAATAAAGATACAGGTATTTTCATGGGATCGAGTTTTGTTGAAATAGTGAATAAGTTAGAATTAAGTCTCAAATGGTTGTAAAATCTCAAATGGTTGTAATATCTCGAATGGTTGTAAAATGTTGAATAGCTGTAAAATGTCGAATAGCTCTAAAGTTAGAAGTCTAAAATGGTTGTAAAATCTCGAATGGTTCTTAAAATCTCAAAAAGCTAAAAAGTCTCAAATGGCTGTAAAATCACGAATAGTTGTAAAATCTCACTTTTGGCTGATTCTTGACATGAATTCTGATAATTTCTCGAATACTTTTGGCTGAAACGGCGTGCCATAATGGACACAAGTCACACAACAATTATGCATGAGTCAATTCCATGAGTAACCATCCCCCGCCCCCACACCTCCTGGGAATATACCCAGACATTAGCATTTTTTTGGAAAGAAAGGGATAATTCCCAGCCGCTGCGAGACAGCAGGAGAGAAAATGAACAGCCCTGCACAACCGTTAGGTGGCAAATGTCCCACTCCGGGATTAAAAAAAAAATGCTTTCATCAATATTGTTAAAAATTGCATAATGCATAGCAAAAATCACATAATGCATGGGGGTATAAACCATCCAACTTAATCTGGTATTAAATTTAGTTCAGTAACAGTGTATTATCAAATATTATTTTGTATTATTAACATTAACAAGCTTCAACTAACAAATCTCACATTCTTTCTTTTTTCGCTAGTGTCAAATGTCCAGGGGTCTTTTAGCCGCCAAACAATGTCCGGCCCCAGTACACTAATCTGAAAGCAAATGCATGGCCCCCGGGAATGGCGTTCCCAGCAAATTCCCGGTGCGGGGGGGTGGGGGGGGGTGGTTACTCATGGAATTGACAATAATATTACACAAGAATTTGCTGTTGTTATATATTATAGTACAAATAATAAAAGGGTAATTTGTGTTCATGTAATCTCACTTGAAAATCTTCCCATATATTAATTAAACACTCACTAACTGGACAATCTGGGTTGGAATGAAGGTACAAAGAGATTGTGATAAACTGTCAAAACAACCAAAACATCCTGGCAAGTGGAATATGACATTTTCTCGTAAATAATTTACACTACAGTACTTGCCAAAATTAAAAATATCCATTCAAATATTCCATTAAATACGGTATTAATAGTTAATACAAAACGAAACGACCAGCATAAATAAGATATGTTCTGCTGTTTGCAATGTCATGTTTGTATGCACGTTTGTGTTGGCGATCTGTTAGGGGTCAACGTCCATATTCATATTGCCACGCATAACGTCGATGGGTTTATCTCAATTCTCTCGACGTTATCTCGATAATCTCGTGGCAAAATTACAATTTTGTGAAGGTTTTGAACAATGTGACTGCCACGCTCGACGTTATTTAGGCGACGTTATGCGTGGCAACATGAATATGGACGTGACCCTTAGCAAGATGCTTTTTAGCTAATTCTGTTTATCAATCATAATGGCTATATGACGTTGAACAACTAGTCTCAAATGTAAAATAAACATACCGATAACTTACCAGGTATTTATAAAACTGGTATCTTCGTAGACTTTGCTCTCGTATCTTCGTAGACTTTGTTCAACAGGCTCGTCTGATTACTCAGAGAATTTCTATTCCTTTTTACCTACCAACCGCTGATAAGCAATTCGCTGCAGCGAAAACTTCCATATTTGGTTGGGGCGCTCTCGTGCACAGGGGCTTTCTCGTGCGGGGTCTTCTCGCGCATTGGTAATGCCAAACCCTGCTCCGATCAAGTCCGGATTAGCAAAGCAAAGCGAACATTTAAGAAAGGATACTTGCCCAATTGGCATGGACTGAAGAAGTGTTCACGATAACGAAACGCGCACCTCGGCGACCTCCTGTTTACAAGATTGCAGATTATGACGGTGAAGAACTGGAAGGAACATTTTACGAGCAGGAACTTCAGAAAGTCAACAAATCAGACAGTGACTATTATAGAGTAGAAAAAGTAATAAGATCACGCATGCGTAATAAACGTAAAGAGTATTATGTAAAATGGTTGGGTTACCCTGACAAGTTTAATTCTTGGGTACCAGCCGAGAGTGTAAAAGATCTGAAATAAATGTATTTGAAACTCATAATTTGTATTCATTTGTGTGTTGGTCTTCAATATGGCAACACAGTTTTATCTCACGTTACCGAGTAATAGTTCTATGGCTTATTTTCAAAATAATACAGTGGCAAATTTTCGAGTGAAATTGGCCGAAACCATTGTTTTGCCAGGGCAATGGGAAGTCGCATTGACAGAACTGCATTAGCCACATACGTGGAGTACGCTGAAACGTGGAGTGCAACAAACGTTTTTATATAAAATTGGCAGTAGCCCTTATCAAACTGTCGTGCTTAAAGAAACACAATATTCTTCTATTGAGCAATTAACAAAAGCACTCAATGCCGGCATGTCAAAAGAAACACAAACGAAAGTGAAGTTTAGTTATAATCGCAGTTCTCGCAAAGTTTGGGTTGGTGTAAAACGCGACACAACTGTGTGGTTTACCGGAGAGTTGGCAACCGTCTTGGGATTTGACCAGGACACTCTTATTGAAAAGAAAACTTTGAGTCCCTATCCTACAGATATCAATGGTTGATTTTCCTCCATGTATGTCTATACTGATATCGTTGATGCACAGTTTGTGGGCGATGTGAAAGTACCTTTACTACGAATCGTTAATATCGAAGGGGAATATGGAAACACCGTTCACGCCAGTTTTCGTAATTTGCAATACGTACCGGTCAAAGTAAATTCCTTTGAGACCATTGAAGTGAATATAAAGAATGACCAAAACGAAAACGTCTCATTTGAGTTCGGCAAGTCAATCGCAACACTTCACTTTAGACAGAAGAGATCTCAGTACTTTATCTAAAAATGCGTGGAAGACTAGTTGTGGATGCTAAACTATTGAAAGACCATTTCTTGAGACAACAGCGTGGTGGGAATATCGCTGGGTTTCGTGGTGCACGTATGCAAAGGGGATATGGGATCGGAAGTATTTTCAAGAGCTTTGCGAGATATGCTATCCCTCTGTTCAAACAAGGCGCTAAAGTTGTTGGCAAAAGAGCATTGCAAGCAGCCACAGAAGTCGGTCAAGATGTACTCCAAGGAAAAAATGTGAAAGAAGCTTTTAAATCACGAGCAAAACAAGCAGCATCTGATATTGCAAAAAACGCTGCCAAGAAAGTAATGACCGGAAAGGGTCGCAAAAAGGGTATAAAAAGAACAGCGCCAGCTAAAACTCCCATTCGTGGTCCAACCAAGAAGCAGAAAACATCTCTCGATAACTATAGTCCAAAGTGGCATGGCTCTTGAAACAATGCATAAAGACTCCTGTATGTGTTCAAAATCTGAACTCGATTTATTTTCTATTCCACCGACTCAAGTGGTAATGGAAAAGGGATTTGGGGAAGATGTTGATCCTATTACGAGCATATCTTCTTCAGATACAATAGAATTTTTATTTGCTGCAAATTCTGATGTTTATACCGACTTAGGAAGCAGTTACCTATACGTTAAAGCAAAGATCACTACTGTGCCGGAGGAAATGTGGATGCCGACATTCAAGTTGGACCTTCAAACCTTTGGATGCATGCATTATTCTCACAAGTTGAAGTATTTCTGAACAAAAACTGGTCACGCCATCAAGCACAGCATACCCTTACCGAGCGTATATCGAAACGACCCTGAACTTTAGTAAAGACGCCAAAGATTCACATTTGACCTCACCACTGTTCTATAAAGATAAAGCTGGAAAGATGGATGTAGTAAACCCTCTCGCACAAGACGCCGACGTCAACACGGGATTAAAACAACGCCATGCATATACACGTGAAAGCAAATCTGTCGCCATGGAAGGAAGACTTCATTCTGATCTATTCGCGCAAGACCGTTATATTCTTGGTGCTGTTCCAATCAAGATCAAGCTGGTGAGATCTAGAGACCCGTTTTGTTTGGTATCATCCGCAGAAAATCCCAATTTCAAAGTGGTCATCGAGGAATGTTTGTTTCGTGTACGACGAGTTAACGTAGCCCCTAGTATTATACTGGCCCATTCCCAGTCCCTTCAACAAATCACTGCCAAATACCCAATCAACAGGATCGACTGCAAGGTTGTCTCCGTACCTCGGGGGAATATGTCTGGAAATCAACCTAATATATTTCAAGGTGGTTTACCAAATCGCATCGTGATTGGAATGGTCGACGCGGATGCCTTTAACGGCACATATACGAAGAATCCGTTCAATTTTAAAAATTACGATATCACAACCATGGGTCTCACTGTCAACGGAGAGAACTTACCTGAAAAACCACTACAGTTGAAATTTGGAGCAGACAGTAATTACATTTCTGCTTTTCAAACCCTGTACGCCGGCACACACAAGATTTTTGATAATCAGGGTAATGGTATAACACGTGAAGAATATGCAAACGGTTATACACTGTTTGTGTTTGACCTCACTCCTGACTTATGCCTTGGTGATCATGTACAACCGATTAAGAACGGAAATGTGTCAATTGAATGTCGATTTGGAACACCGTTGGAGACAGCTATAAATATCGTGGTACTTGGTGAATTTCAAAGTCTTATCGAAATTGATGCGAACCGAAACGTGCTGTGTGATTTCAACAACTGAAGATGAATTCGCTGCAGATTATGAACATTCTCAAGAATGATCCGTTTACAAAAACGGTGTTTACGGACGTTTTACCGTCAGATCGTTTACCTCGCGAAATAAGAAAGAGGCCTAGAGGGTATATATTTAACACGGACGCATCCGATATGCCCGGATCCCATTGGATTGCAATGTACCTTACAGAAGATGGTAAAGGGGAATTTTGGGATTCGTATGGTCAGGCTCCTGGATTTTACAATCAGAACTTTACTCAATTTTTGGACAAGCATTGCGCTACATTTACATGGAACAGAAGAATTTTGCAAGCCCCTTCATCAGACGTGTGTGGACAATATACATTATTCTTTGCTTTACATCGCTGTAGACGTATTCCAATGTCAACCATTGCAAATATGTTTACGGATAGCAAAGAATGGAATGATGAGCTTGTGCGTGATTTTATAGACAAGTGGTACAAACACTAGATTTAGTTTTAAATACATTTTATTGTAAAATTTTCTCTTACAAGAAATAAATTATTTTAACCATTTATATGGACTACTAATATTGTCTCTGCGTTTTTTCCTCTTTTCTTGCTGCACTCGAGGGGTGGTGGGTAGATTGTCCGGGATACCTTTGGTTTTATATTCGCGAACAATTCCAAGACGGTTTTCGTTTCTCACAATACCTTCGGGTACATTCATATGTCCAAGAACTTTTGAAAACAATTCCCAGCCGTCGGGGTTGAAATTCTTCCTTTGACGTAGAGAATCATTCACCAAATCAACTAGATTTGTGCTAGGAACCGATCTTCCTTTGAACACCATCTGGCCTTGTTCATTCCAACCAATAAGATCCTTATTTGACTTGAGTTTTTTGATGAGTTGTCGAGCTCTTGACTTCATAGTAGCTGGTACACTGTCCATGATATCTGTTTCAATCTCGTCTGAAGGTTCAGGCTCTTCGCTCGGCTGTTCTGCTTGAGATTCTTCAGGTTTATCGGTATGCGTCACGTTTACTCGGAGAGGTTTATTCATTCGTTTATCCCCGAGCCGGCGGCGCGAAGCGCCGTGCGAGGGTACTAATTCCCCCCGGCTATATACACCCGGGGAAACGAAAGCATTAGGGAAGTCTAAAGTTCATCAATGAGCGCGGGCGTCGGTCACCAACGATGGGTGGTCATCCTCACTGATCTCAAAAATATGGCGGACTGTCATGAATAACGGACACTGATTGGTCCAATTTAAAGTTTGACATTATAACGACTGCATGACGACAGCGAAATAGCAAACATTTCTTGATTTGATGAGTTGATGATTGATAAATTTGTCAAATTTCTTGCAAATATTCTTCATTTTTGCTCATATTTCTGCAAGATTTTGTAAATTTCAAGAAAGAAAGGGCCAAAGGATCAGCTAAAAGAAGGGAGCCGACGTTAACGAAGGTAAGTTTGTTTTAAATATTGATTTTATAATGGCTTTAAAACCCGACGGCTTTTCCGTATATCAAACAACTAAACAAGACATACAAGACAGCATATAATTTCAGTGTATCTTTAATATTGATTCCCTTTTTTATTATATTGAATTTTTTAAATAAAAAATAAAGCAAAGTTATTTGCAAGCGAGAATTTGAAATCATTTTATTGCAAACTCAAAGTTTATCGATAAAGCCATTTAATAGTTAAAGGCAGTTTAGTTTTATAAAGAACACTTTAAAACGTTTTGTGAATTGTTTGCGGTTGAATTTTACCTTAAATTGAAGCTTGTATTACGTATAATTACATACCTAACATATATATGTTGAGAAATTGATAATTTTGTAATTAATATTTTTAGGCGATTTTCATTTGTAAGAATATTCTTAAAAAATTATCGTGTTACCATAACAACTACTTTAGATACTTCATGTTCGGAAAATACAACGGTTTTGTCAGCAAGGCGAGGGTTTCTGCATGCATGTATTTTCTAGTAATTATTACTTCTTTTACTGCATATTGGAAGGGAAATACCCATATACAGGGGTGGGGTGAATAGGTTTTCGAATCGTCGGATTTCACAGAAAAAATTGTTCGGTTTTCGGATATCTAGCGAATATTTTACACGTATTTGCGGATCTTATTAATACAGCGGATTTCGGATTTATCTAATATTTTGGCTCGGATTGTGGATTTAGCTTCCATTTTAGTTCGGATCCTGCATGGATTGTGACTTCATAGTAATGCTTTTAGCGGATTCAAATTTAGACAAGACCATTGTCGGATCGCGGATTTTGCTTCAAATTTTGGCGGATCGGCAAATTTGCATACCCCTATTCACCCCCCCCCCCCAACAGCTAAGCAGAGGATAATATAAGTATTTCCATTATGAACAGATGGATTGTTCGAGGGGAAATACCTTACTGTTAATACTAATTTAAATAACAAGCTTTCTTGCTAGGAATGCAACTGCCTGAAGAATATAAACGAACCAAAAAATCTTAAAAATGTCCTCGGCAATATGGTCCCCTGGTTTAAGATCTTCAAGATCGAATTTTTCTTTCTTGCCGTGAAAACATCGACCAAAGCCCAGGGACGCCGGAACGATAATAAGGCAAATGGGGGCGGACGCACACCAAGGGCACCTCTATAGAGCAAAACTTCAAAATCTACCGGAAAAATTTTTTTTCAATGGAAATTTTTGTGCGACCAAAAAATTTTCGGTCAGTCGGTATACCATTTTAGGGGTCAAAATTTTTTTCCGGACATACCAAAATTTTCCGTGAAGTCAAAAATTTTTCCGCATAGCTTTAATTTTCGCCATTTCTTCAAAATAGTTTTCCAAATTCCAAAAATTTTCCAAAATTTTTATAAATATAAACTATGAATTACCTGAATCTCGTGATTTTCCTACAAAAAGCATCGTTGGAAATGTGATTTATCACGTAGTATTTTACAACCAAAAGGGCACTTTTACCCCCCCCCCCTGCCCCCCTAGCAAAA